TTTCTCAAAATACTGAGTTTGGAGTTACCATAAATTAAGCAATATTCCTAAATCTATACCCAAGAGAAATGAAAATGTATATCCACACAAACACTTATATGTGAATATTCATAGCATTATTCATGACCAAAAAGTAGAAACAAAAAATGTTATCTATCCATACTATGGAATAGTATCTAGCAGTGAAAAGGTATGAAGTACTGATAACTGCCACAACATTGATGAGCTTGAAACTTTGTGTTAAGTGAAAGAAGTCAGTATAAAGGACATCATAGTGTATGATTCCTTTTATATGAACTGCCCAGAATGGGGTGAAAGTTTAATGGCTGCCAAAGTTTCGGGGGAATTGAGAAAGTGGTTACTAATGGGTATGGGGTTTCTTTTTGGGATAAGGAAAATGTTCTAAAGTTGATCTTAGTATTTGTTGCAAAAAAGAGTAATAATGGTGGAAGTTCTTGTTTAAAATTGAGTTACCAACAGTAGCTGATAGCTGATACATTAAATTTATTAAGGCATTTGTATCGTAGAAAAGAGGAAGGCCCTCAGCAAGATGGATGGGCACAGTGGACTCAAACAGAATGAAGGTTATGAGGATGGGACAGAACCAGGCAGTGTTTCTTTGTCTTGTACACTGGGTTGCTATGAGTTGAATCCAGCTCTGTGGCACCTAAGTACAACAGTGATGTTGGACATCTTTTCATGTACTTCTTGATTATTTTTATATATTGGGCAAATGTCAATTCAGATCCTTTGTCCATTTTTAAATTTTGTTATTGAGTTGTAAGGATTTGTGTTGTTTGTACCAAGTGAAAATAAGCTGATATTTAGGATCTTGATAGTTTAAAACTTCATTGTTTTATAGGAAATGCTTTTCAAATATTGAATGTTCATTGATTTTATTTTTTAAAGTATCCCTCTGTCCATTTACTAAAAATTTCAAAAATAGTATTTTGCTTGAATATTGAATCTAAATTTATGGATTATACTCCATCTCTAGTTTTATATTGAATATAACGTAGAGTTATATAGTAGCATGGAGTCCTGGTAGGGTAATGTGCTAAACTGTGATGTCAGCTTGAAGCACAAAGTTGGCGCTTCAAGCTCACCAGCCACTCCTTGGAAACCCTATACAGGGTTGCTGTTGGTGGAAACCTACTCAATGGCACTTAACAACAACAACATATAAGAACATTACGACTCTGCATTGCCAGGTGGAAATTATTAAGACAGACATAAAAGTAGATTCTGTATCAGGAAAAAAAAAATGTGATTTCTTATTTCATTGCAAACATTCTAACACCATCTTCCATTCAGATGCTGGAGGTATTTCAGAACTGAATATGTTTTCTCAGACTCTCTTATGAATAGCCATGGAGCATTTGAAGACCTACATTAATAAAATTGTTTTATGAAACATTTTTCCATATTAAAGCATGGAAAATGCACAGTGATTTTGGCAACTTTTGTCTGAGGTGTTATTTATGTTTTCTTTTGTAGACTACTCACTACATTCCATTTTCACAAAAATGCTTTTAAAATTATATTAAGTAATAAGACCCTCTTGTGAGCCCAGGTGAACATCTGATAGAAAAATAAGAGGAATTTAAAGACTTCTGACATTCATAGATTCATACAACTGAAATTACAAAGATTTTATAGATCAGTGTCTGTACTGTGTCATTTGGGACACAGGTGCCCATTCTTAGATTATTTTCTCTTCAGTATTAGAAACAGTGGAACTTGTGGTACTTTAATGGTACTTGTTAGGCTTTGGCCAGTTTACCACAGTGTCAACAGGTCAAAATCCACCATCCACTCTTCAGAAGAAAGATGAGATTGTCTCCTCCCATAAAGGGTCGCCATAAGTAGAACTCAACTTGGTAGGAGGGAGCTTGCTTTGGTTTCGGTGCTATTGGCACAAGTTTAAAATGAACTTTCCAGTGTATAAACATAACTTTCATAGAAACCTGTTGAGTGCATATTTTTTGCCATTCTTAATTTAGATTACTTCATTATTTTTTCCATAATTGTTGTTGTTGTTGTTTAGTGCCGTCGAGTCGGTTCCGACCCATAGCGACCCTGTACAGGGTTTCCAAGGATGTTAATCCTTACGGGAGTAGAAAGCCTCATCTTTCTCCCGCGGAGCGGCTGGTAGTTTCGAACTGCTGACCTTAAGGTTCGCAGCCCGATTCGTAACCCATTAAACATATTTAAAAGAAACCAAGAGGCTTAATATTATGTTCTTTCCACCCAACATTCATCTATTTGGCCAGGTCCCGTGGATCTTTGTAAATTTTTCCTGAATGAAAGTTGGTACATTTTTATTGCCTTAAAGGTTGAACCCCAGTGAAATGCACTGTATTTTCAGGCAAATAGCCGTTTTATAGAAAACAAAACAAAATGTGCAACCCCTGTGAGAGTTAGCTTCCTCTGTATACTTACGGGAATACGTTTTGAGAAATCAGTCCTTCACTTTGATTTCAAATGGCTCTGTATGTAAATTAATACACATTTTGTTCGAGCCATGTAGTGTTTTGATTATGGTTGACACTGGCTGAAGAGTGACTTGGGGTTAGATGGTACTTGATAGATAATTTATTATCTTAATAATCTGAAAGTCAACAGGCACTCATTTAAAAAATTACATACATAGAAACAATGTATCAGGACTTGAGATTTAGTTAGTTTGCTTATTATTTCGACCCCACAACTATAGCTGTGTGATGAAAATACATGTGCTTTGGGATTTTTCAGTGAGGATGTGTATATAAGCCAGAATCTAAAACTTAGCATTGGATTAGAAGTGCATTAAATAATGTTGAAGATTTGCCAAATGGATGTGGGAGAAACACTACTTTCTGCTAGTCTCTAGTATATTGTATTTGGACGATGTATTGGGGGGCTTTCCTGGAGATAGAGAAAATGCTATCCATAAAGGTACATTTTAAAAAATTTTTGTAAGGAGAGATTGGTAAAAATCTACTGATTGCATTCTGCATAAGTATTTTGACTCTTTAACATCAGTTACTTTATTCTCGTAAAACAGTGTTTGTTTCTTTTTTTAATTTGTGAATTTTTATTTCTTAATTGATTTTAAAACAGTAATAAGCACATTGCATAACATAAATAATATTTTCTCTCTGGTAGCGTAGTGGTTACGAATCGGGCTGAGAACCACAAGGTCACCAGTTCAAAACTACTAGCAGTTCCGTGGAAGAAAGACGAGGCTTTCTGCTCCCGTAAAGATTTATAGCCTCGGAAACCCTGTACAGGGTCGCTATGAGTCGGAACGGACTCCACAGCACATAACCACCACCACCAGTGGAAAATAACTGTTTCCAAAGCAGATAATCAATATTATGCAAAGAGTGACATAATTTGCATTTTTTGGACTTCTTTTTAATGACTGCCTTAATAGAAAATTGGCGTTTTCTCTTAATGTGCTTCTGTCCTTAGTATGTTGTAGTCTTATTTGATTGAAATATATGAAGAAAACACAGCTTCACACTGATACATAGTTAGAAAAGAAAGGAGTATTGTATTAGCCTTTGCAAATAAATTGTGTGTATTATTTGATGCTACCCTAAGACTAACAAGTGATATTTTCTTAAATGTTAGTTGCAGTGTAGAATCTCAAACTATACCAATAAACTTTTTGTACTTTGTTATAGAACACCTGCTGGTCTGTCTTGCATTTTGAATGAATCTTTTACCCAAACATAATTTCATAACATCATGCATCAGGCATTTGAGAAATAGCATTTTACTGAATTATGCAGAACTTCCAACTCTTAACATGGTATTAAGTGGTGTCTATTCTTTTAAGTCACATTTTCAGTGTCTTTGTACTGTGAAGGTTAACTATAGCAAGCTTTGAATTGGCCTGAGGTTTGCTGTATGGTAAGATTGTTGGGTGACCTTCAAGGACTTCATTTACTAAGAGGATCTATGGCTCTCTCGGATCCTCCAAGGATTATATGCCCTCTCTCTCAAACAGTAAAGAAATTTATTTGCCTTTATATAACTGAGCCAAACAGTTATGCTTTTCATTTTTGCTCATATTTTTTTGAACATTTGCCCTTACACATAATAAGATGTTGTTGTTTAATGCCGTGGAGCTGGTTCCGACTCATAGCGACCCTGTATAGGGTTTCCAAGGAGCTGCTGTTGAGCTTGAACTGCCGACCTTGTGGTTCAAACTGACTTTGCAGTTCAGCGTGTTAACCCACAGCGCCACACCAGGAGTCCCGCAGTCAGATGGTGGTTAGGTGGTTGTTATATGCCGTGGAGTTAGTTCTGACTCCGCGACCCTGCATAGGGTTTCTGAGGCGAGGCCGTAAATCTTTATGGGAGCAGAAAACCTCATCTTTCTCCTGCAAAATGGCTGGTAGTGTCAAACTGCTGACCTTGAGGTTAACCTGACTCGTAACCACTGCGCTACTAGAAAATAGTGCTCGTAAAGTTATTACAGAATGAAGATTATTTTCTTCTTCCAGACTATGATCTGTTTCTTCTCATAACTTTCAGTTCCCTTTTTCTGCTGTAGGTGCATGCTACCAAGTCAGCGCAGACACATAGTGACCCTCTATAGGGTTTCTGAGACTGGAAATCTTTACAGGAACACAAAGTCTCATCTTTTTCTCCCACAGACCGTCTGGTAGATTCGAACTGCTGACCATGCATTTAGAAGCACAGTGTGTACCTTTCTCAAGAGCTATCCTTTTCCACTGCTCCTTCAAAGTTAACGTTAAGAAAAGCAAATTACATATTCCAACCTTAAATTAGGAAGTAAAGTTTTGAATGATAATCCCTAAAAGCTGAAGAGCATAACTATAAAAATAAATGTGGTGTGTTTCATATCAATTAGATTAAAACGTTACTTTTGTTTGGATAAGTAGAGTTTTGCTTCCTCTGAAAACTATTTTGAAAGCATAAAAACCACTTTACAACTGCTGTATCGTGAGGGAAACTCAGTTCAGTTTTCATTGTTCCCCATTTAGGATACAGATGAATTTATTTTACCAACTGGAGCTAATAAAACCCGGGGCAGATTTGAACTAGCCTTCTTTACCATAGGAGGATGTTGCATGACAGGTGGGTTCAATGATTTTTTTTTTTTATTGCCCTTGATATAAGTAATTGGAAGTACTTATTAACATTTTAATTTTTTAATTCAAAAGCACTTGGAATATCCATTTCAGAGTTTTTAAATCATTATTGATATTTACCTTTTTCTGTTAGGTAAAAATTTAAAACAAGTACAGTTCTCTGTTTATTTAGTTGAATATTCTGTGGTTATAATTTACTAGGGGCTGCATTTGGGGCTATGAATGGCCTACGACTGGGATTGAAGGAAACCCAGAACATGGCCTGGTCCAAACCAAGAAATGTACAGTAAGTTTTACATCATCATCTGATAATTATTGTTAAGTGCTGCTGACCCTGTGGTTCACAGTCCAGTGCTGATCCACAGTAACACGCTCGAAGTCTCATATATGATATGGTTAGTTGGTTATGTGCCGTGGAGTCGGAACCGACTCGTAATGTTTAATTATTAACCTCTTTTTGTATATGAGTACAACCTTGAGATATTTAGTGATGATTTAATATTGTCCTTTTTTCTTTTCTTATTTTACAAAACCTTACAAAAGTAAAAGGAACTAAAGAAGCAGGTTACTGAGTCTAAGCTCTAAGCTTTTTAGAAATGTTTTTTGAGTCAGTCAGTGCCCCTCAATCAACTACTTCTTTCCCAACCTAAATTCTGTGCTTGGCAATATCTCTTCCATTTTCCAGGCCTTAAATGGCATGCTCTCCAAATTATTGAATTGTTAGTGTGATATTTGGATTATTCAAGGGAACATGCAGAACCAGAGGACCCCATAATAAAGAAAAGGAAGCATGTAACAGTGATTGCTGGAGCTGCTGGGGTTTTTTACATGGGTGTTTCCTATTGACTTCATCCACTGTTTCTAAAATGGAGAACAGCAGAGCATTTAAATGAAATTCTTGGAATTTAGAATCTTTGCCTTTTCTCAGGAAATGATGCTAGCATAGCATAAAAGGGAAAGTTCACAGTTTTTAAAGGGTTGAAAAGTACTTCTGAATATGTGTATGTTCACCGTGCTTAAGAGATGTAAGGTGAACATACACATTGTGTTCATTATATTCCTCTCAATATTCCATAAATAGCATATCTCTTTGGCTTTGTGCATTTTTAAAATTTAAATGGAATCAGATGGTATATATTCTTCAATGACTTATGGTTTTGTTTTAGGTGCATCTTCTTCCTAACACTTGGTTTAGCCAGCAGATGGCAGAAAGTGTGCTAGAATTAGACCTGGAGAACTTGAAGGCCAGTCAAGTTTTAAATTATGTGGATTGATAACCTTGCTTGACCAACCAGGTCATTTGATATTTTTATATTTATAGTCTTAGTATCTTCTCTTACTCCAGTAAATTTTTGCGTGTATGTATTGTGGAAACTTTTGAATATACACAAATATAGACAGAATGCTACAATGAATGCCTATGAATCATAACCAAACATCAGCAACCATCAACCCATGGCCAATTTTGTCCATCTACTACTTTAGTTCCATGTTATTATGAAACAAGTCCCCATTCGGGTATCATTAAGTTATGAAATAATAATCTGAAATGGAAGGTCTCTTAAAAACCCTAACCTGCCTGGTTTCTTAAAGCAATAATAGTTACTAACATCTTTGGCCACCACTTCTTTGTCAGCTTGTCTTACCGTGTTTACTTGTATGTGGCTTTGATGCTGGAAGCTATGCTTCCATTGTTTTAAATAACAACAGGGTTACTCGTGGTGAACACGTGTCAGCGGAGCTTCCAATTAGACAGACTAGGAAGAAGGAAAAGTAGACTACTTATGAATGCGTAGCCACTAAAAATAGTAAGAATTGCAGTAGAATATTGTCTCATATCATTTCAGAAGATGAGCCCCTCAGGTTGGAATACACTCAGTATTACTGGGGAAGAGCTGCCTCAAAATAGAGTTGACCTTAATGAAGTGTATGTAGCAAAGTTTTCTAGACCTTTTTTTGCTGATAGAATACAACTCAAAATGAGAAGAAGTAGCTATAAACACTCATTGGTAATCAGAACTTAAATGTAAAACAAATGGGTCTAGGAAACTTGGAAAATGTCAAAATGAAATGGAATGCATAAAGATTGGCATTCTATGCATTAGTGGGCTGAAATGGACTGACAGCTTGAGAAGTCATAGTGAAATATTATAAAGAAATGCACAGAGACCTGGAGTTAGAAAACCAAAAGGAAACACTCAGCATTTCTCATGCTGAAAGAACTGAAGAAATCACTCCAGTCTAGAGTTGCAATATTGAAAGATTCTGTGTTCCCAATCCAAAAGAGGTGACCCTACAGAATACAGAGATCATCGAACAATATCATTAATATCACACACAAGTAAAATTTCACTGAAGATCATTCAAAAATGGCTGCAGCAGTACAACACAGAACTGTCAGAAATTCAAGCCAGATTCAGAATAGTGCTATGAAATTTTCTCTTTTGCTTTCTGAAAAGTTGGACATTGAAGAAGAAGAATTCATGCATTTGATTATGGTGTTGGAGGAGAATATTTAAAATACCATGGGTAAAAGAAGAAAAAAATCTGTGTTGAAGAAGTATAGCCAGAATGCTCAGTGGAAGTCATGATGGCCGGACTTTGTCACTCATACTTAAGATACATTATCAGGAGGGACCAGTCCCTGGAGAAGGACATCATACTTGGTCAAGTGAAGGCTCGTTAAAAAAAGATGAAGACCCCCAAAGAGATGGATTGGCACAATGGCAGCAGCGGTGGTTTCAAGCATAGCAAAGATTGTGAGGTTGGTGCAGGACCAACATAGGGTTGCTATGAGTCAGTACCAACTCGATGGCACCAAACACAACTAAATTCAGGTAGCACTTATGGTTGATAAATCAAAGGCTGTGTTACCTAAAGTGTTAAAGAGCAAAGAGATCAATTTGAGGACTGAGGTGTGTACCTGACCCAATCCATGCTAGTTTCAATTGTCTGTATCAAGATAAACACTGGCCTGCAAACCACCAGGTCCATAGTTCAAGCCCTTCATCCACTCCTCGGGAGAAAGATGAGATTCTCTGTTCCCGCAAAGATTTACATCTTTGGGTACCCTAAACAAGGTCATAGTGAATCCGAATCAACTGGAAGGTACTCAACAATAGCAACAAAATATATTTGAAAGTTAGACAATGACTAAGGATGACTGCAGAAGAATTCATACGTTTGAATTATGGCATATTAAATAATATTGAAAGTACCAGGGACTGTCAGAAAAATTAACAAATGTTTCGGAAGACGTACAGCCAGAATGTTCCTTGGAAACCAGGATAACAAAATTTCGTCTCTCCTAGAGGGACCAGTCCCTCATGCCTACTAAAGTGGAGTATTCTAAGTATGTACTTCATACTCTCCTCCCAAAAACAAATCTCAACAGGATGGATTAACATAGTGGCAGCAACAGTGAGCTCAAACATAACAGTTGTGAGAATAGTGCAACACCAGGCAGTGTTTTGTTCTGTTTTGCATATGGTTGCTATGAGTTGAAGCATACTCAATGACACCCACACCAGACAGTGTTTTCTGTTTTGCATAGTGTTGCTATGAGTTGGAACTGACTTAGTGACACCTGACAACATCATCTTTGGATAGAACTGAATTGACTTGTTTTCTTACAAAATTTTAGCAATATACTGTGCCACTAGCAATACATGAATCAAAATTAATTTTAAAGCAGGTTACAAAAGAAAAACTAATGTTTAAAGAAAATGCATAAGTAAATATGTAAAATTAGAAACAGTGTAAGAAAGAAATATAAATGTCTGTTGTGTTAGAGCATCCCATAAATTCTGAGTTCTTTTATTGTTTGTTACTATGTTCCATAAACTCCAGCAGTAGTCAGCTGTCTGGACCCATTCCTGAATGGTGTTACACTGCTGGGAGAGGAATGTCTTTGTCTTCATTAGCTGGTTGTCTTTGTCACTGTACTGGTGGCCTTCCTTGAGAGTGGACTAAGCATGCGCTTTGGCTGCTCCGTTCTCGTCTGGGAACAGACACAGGTTATAGTTTCTCTGTAGATAGTAGGGAATTAGATGAAGGTGTTACCTTCTCTGATTGCTTATCTTTGATTCTCTTTATAGCCTATTTTTATATTTTGAATTTTGATTCTACTTTGTATTCTAAGTATATACTTCATACTCTCCTCCCAAAAAGAAAATCAAGTTTGCTTGTCATAATTACATAGATTGCTGTCAAACTTTTACATAAATAAATTGCTGTCAACTTCTTTGTAAAGTAACCTTTCAGCTGCTACTCACAGCCATCGTGGTTGAGGCTTAAGAAACCTCATGGACAGTGAGACTTGTGAGAACCAGAACTTGAAATTGCTTTGTTTTTCCAGGTGTCACAAGTTTTATGTCTTTGACAGGATGCAGTCTTAATATTTTTCTGTCAGTTGTTTTAATGAAAAAATGTTTGTTTTCCTTCTCTGACAATTTCCTGCCTTACACAGTTTCTGGCTCTTGCAGATTTTACTATATTTAATAAGAGTAATTTCCCTTAATTATTGCCAAAATGGTGGAAATTTTCATCTAAACTTCATTGGTACAGAGTATAAACCATTATTTTTTTAATTCTGAAGAGGTACTATGATAAATAAGAGATATAAGAAACTTTGGGGCTTGATTTTATATTTGCAAATGCTATGTTTTTTTAAATTCTAGCAAACTAATCATTCTAAATGCAGATTCTTCCTCTTTCTGCCTTGGTAGGATTTTGAATATGGTGACCAGGCAAGGGGCACTTTGGGCTAATACTCTAGGTTCTCTGGGTAAGTAAAGATATTGCTTGATAATAAATTGCCAATATAAAGAAAAAAATTATCATGAACCATGTAAACAGCCAAAATTCTGGTCCTAGAATATGAAGAAAGTTGGGTCCATTCCAGGACCATACCAAAACCCAACTCAGACTCATTGCTGTTGAGTTTATTCTGACTTATAGCGACTCTCAGACAGGGTAGAAACTGCCCAATAGGGTTTCTAAAGCTATTAATATGTATGGAAGCAGATTGCCACCCTTTCTGTCACTGAGTAGCTGGTGGTTTCAAACCACTGACCTTTTACTTAGCAGCCAAACACTTAACTTATGCCCCACTAGGGTTCCTTAACGGCCCTATAGAGTTTCTGAGGCTTTCAAATCTTTATAGAAGCAGATTGCTACATCTTTTTTCCCCATGAAATGACTGGAGGGTTTGAACTGCAACATTTCAGTTAGCAGCCAAGAACTTAATTAACCACTGTAACACCAGGGTTCCTCTTTGCTGATACCATAAAGCAAGTCCATTGCCGTCAAGTTTATTCCAACTTACAGTGACCCTGTAGGACACTAGAACTGCCCCATAGGGTTGTGTAGATAGCACACTGGATAGTATTTCTAAACATTTAGAACCTTTTTAAATATTACATATTCTGCCCAACACTAAATAAAGTCATGTTTTTACATATGAAAGGCAGATCATTTAGGACATGCAAAGGGCTTTGTATGTTAGGAAAGAAAGGTCAAGGTCCTATAATGGGACGTGACTGATAATCCAACTCTCTTGCTGCTAATACATTGTTCTGTCTACTTGAGTAGATTTTCCAGACCTAATTGCTGAGTCATTTTGCAATAATTCTTTTGTAGCTATAAAAACATTTGCTATTCTAGGAAAAAGTGCAGTTTCACTTAGTTCAGAAGTCAGAATCTGAAGCTTTCGTAGCATGATGTTTGTTATGAATGACTAACTCATTTAATTGCTGATGACTCATACATAATAGAACAACTTGTGACTCTTAGGCCTTAATACCCAGGTATTTTTTGTGAACTTAGTTGAAAGTCTGAAAATCTTCTAATCGTGGCAGATTAAGTAAGGTGAAGCTTATATATCTCAGTGAGACGTTAGTTAAGGGCCTCTGTAGTGATTATATGGAGTCCTGGTATGGTGCTGCAGGATAATTTCCTGGACCACAAGGTTAGTTTGAACCTCCAGGTCATCAATTCAAACCCACCAGTGTCTCCTCAGAAACCCTATACAGGGTCACTGAGTCATAACTGACTTAGATGGCACTTAACAACAAAGTGATTATATAAGATCCTAGCCTTGTCACAGGATTTGGAAGCAGTGCATGTTCACACCTTAAAGCCATATTTTTGGGTCCTAATAAATGGCTGCTTTTATATACTGTTGCTCACACCTGCATTCCCCTTACCCTATATACAGTTACCCTCCTATGTTCCTTTTTTTGTTTTTTCTATACCTAATAAATCATCGTGATCTGCCTAGGATTTTTACAATTTGTACTCTCAGAGTTCAGCATCCCAAGAAACCCTTTAGCCTTGGGTAAACCAGGATGGCTAGATGCGCTGTGTGTTCCCCTTATAGGTGAGCCACAGCATTATACTCATACTCAGTGTCAGTTAATTCAGTTGACACAAAAAGGTAAACTTGTACAGAAGTTAAAAACATCGCAACAGAGGAGTCATATGCTGACCTTGCTGTAATTTATTAATGTATTAATGGTTAAATGTGCCTCTTAATTTTGAGGGAAAGGTTTTGTATATTCATTATTGCTGAGAATCTCTGCTTAGGAGCTCTCGTAGCGTAATGGTTACGAATGGGGCTACAAACTACAAGGTCAGCAGTTCGAAGCTACCAGCTGCTCTGAAAAATGAGGCTTTCTGCTCCCGTAAAGATTTACAGCCTCAGAAACCCTGTTCAGGGTTGCTATGGGTTGGAACCGACTTGACGGCACTTAACAACAATCTGTAAAGATGCAGAAGGATGGTTTGGGGATGATACTATTTAAACTAAATAGTGCTAGTGTTAATAATTTTTAAATCTGTGTGAACCAAACTTCACATTTAAAATAAAATATTTTTATAATTTGTATTTATAATATAAACTTTTGCAACTCAATAAAGTATAACTATTATGAGTGAAAGATAAGTGAGAATTAAAAAATATTCTTCCTGACACAGTAGTGTTTTCCAGAAATAGCTATTATTAACAATCCTTCTGAATCATTATAGTTTATTTTGGGTTTTTTGGCACAGCAAGTCAGAGTCATGTATACACACATACAAGTATAGGACCAACTTTCTATATTAGTAAACATAGTTCTTCCTGTTTTGGTTTTTAAGTGAATATATAGTATTACAATATATGGAAAATCCCTTTCTGAATCAGTCACTTGACAGGCTTTTTATTTATTGCCAGGTTTTTGTTATTATAGTTTTCCAGTGATCATTCCTTCTACATCTTTGCGTACTTACAGATTAATGTCTGTGGGATAAACTCATCTATAATTTCCATACTGCCATTTACTCACTGTTTCATTACTGATCAGTTGCATTTCCCTGCTAGCTTTGCTCTATAGTGCTTTTGGTGTGGTCATTGAGAAAACGCGAGGTGCAGAAGATGACCTTAATACAATAGCAGCCGGAACCATGACAGGCATGTTGTATAAATGCACAGGTAGGTGCTGTTGAACATTGAGTTATTTTCTAGTACACACATAATGTCCTTTTATACATAGTTCTCAAAAGAAACTTTGTAAGTACGGTAAAATCTAGTATTCTCTGAAATCATATGGTGGTTTTGTAATATTAAAAAGACAAGATTCTTTTCCATAGTTTTTTTTCCCCTTTTTTATTGTTTTAAGTTGATTAACCTGGTTTAAGAAAACAAATAATATCTGTACCTTTGAGACCAGCATATTGAGCTGTATCATAAGACATGTTGTTAAGTACCATCAAGTCAGTTCCACTTCATAGCGAACCCTGTATAGGGTTTCCAAGGAGCAGCTGGTGAGTTTGAATAGCCCAACATGCACTTCAAACCGACCTTATGGTCAAGTGCTTATCCTCCACTGCCACACCAGGACTCCATCATAAGACACAAATAAGGCCAAAGCCAAGTATGGCTTCACTTTAGGACAGTTGCTTAGAGCTTGTTGTTCATGTGAGAATGTTGCTCCACTGGAAAATCATGCCGTGGATATCACTGAATGGATGCAGCTAGTACAAGGGTCAAGTAGTTATGTGTGTGTTGACTAGTTTGAAGCAAAGTCCAAATAAATAACTAATGGTAAGTTTTCAGTGTGTTGATCTTTGTTCACTTTTCTGTCATTTATCCATGTAAGTTCAAATAGAACTAAATGACATAACAATAGTCTGGTGCATTTTCCCATCGTGACCCTAGTTCCAGAGTTTCAAAGGCAAGTAGTTTAACTTTTTTCTAAATAGCATACTTACCTTGCCATTTCCGGATTTTTGAATCTTAAATATTTTCTGCTGACTTTAACTACTAGGAAAACTATGTTAAGTGCTGTAGGAATTGCACAAAATATGGGAAAAAGAAAGTCACTTTTTATAGGATTTACTTCTTGTTCATATGGTTCTCTTTTCAAACTCACCAGCCACTCCACATGAGAAACATGAGGCTGTCTGCACCTATAAAGATTTGTTGTTGTTGTTAAATGCTGTCAAATTGGTTACAACCCATAATGACCCTGTGCAGGGTTTCCGAGGAGTAACTGATGAGCTTGAACTGCCAAAGTTGCAGTTCAAACTGACTTTGGAGTCCAGCGCATTGACCCACAGCACCACACCAGGACTCCTATAAAGATTTAGAGTATTGGAAAGTCTCTGTAGGTTGCTATGAGTCAGAATCAACTTGGTGGCAGTGTGTTTGGTTGTCTTACAGACAAAATAAAATTCAGACAGGTCACTGGAAGCCTATTTTAACTATTTATTGTAAATGAGTGAAGGTTTACCGAGCAGATCATCCATTTTATAGTCAACAAATCGTATGCTTCAGTGCATTCATTACATTGCAGTCCCTTTCATGTGCCATCACTTAACAGTATTTTCCTGGATTCACTTGAACTCTTGCATTTCTCCGTGTCTCCTACTTCCTCCTTCTTTCCTGTGCCAACCTCCCTCTTGTTGTATATTGCTTGCCCCATCATCTGTAGCCCATGAATCATTTTCCTTCCTTCTCTTCCCCTAGTTAACCATCATAGAATGTATCTTTTATCAAGAAAACCTTAACTTTTTTGCAACAGTGGTTTCATATAATAGTTGTTCTTTTGTGATTGACTAATTTCACTCTACTCCAGGCTCATCCATGTTGTGAAGTGTTATTCAACTTTGCATGAGATTCCATTATGTGTGTGTACCAAAATTTACTTAATCATTCTTCAACCTTTTCTATTATAAATAGTGCCACAGTGTACATGGATGGACATGCATATATCTTTTCGCATCACAGCTCTTACTTCTTGAGGATATACAACAATTAGAGGGCTTTCTGGGTCCTACGTTATTTCTGTTTCCAACTTTTTGAGAAAGTGCAGTACTGTTGTACACAGTGGCCATACTATTTTACAGTCCCACCAGCAGTGTAGGAGGCTTTCAGTCTTTCTATACCCTACCCAAGATTGGTTTTCTGGTGTTTTTGAACTTTGCTATTAATGCTGAGGTGAGGTGATATTTCATTGTTTAGATTTGCATCTGTCTAAAAGGATCTCTGGTAGTGGAGTGAAACTGCTAACCCCAAGGTCAGCTGTTCAAAACTACCAGGTGTTCCAGAGGAGAAAGATTTACAGCCTCGGAAAACCCTACACCACGTTGCTGTGAGTCTGAACCAACTCCATGACACATAACCACCACCAATGACTAATGATAGGGTCCTGGTATGATGCTGTAGGATAATCACTTGACCACAGTATTGGTTTGAACTGTCAGGTCGGTGGTTCAAACTCACTAGCCACCCCTCAGAAACTCTGTACAGGTTGCTATGGGTCGGAACCAACTTAATAGCACTTAACAGCAAATGAGTGATGACTAGGAACATTTTGTGATCACTTTGCTAGCCTACTTGATGTCTTTGGTGAAGTGTCTGTTCATGTCCTCTGCGCATTTTTTAGAGAGTAGTACTTTTGTCTGATATGTCACTGCCAATGACAATTTTTTCCTAGTCTCTGGATTCTCTTTTAACTGTTGATAAAGTCATTTGGTACACATAAGTGTCTTCATTTTTAGAAAGTCCCAGTCATCTATTACTTCTTCTGTCAGTGTGTTTCCAGTTACGTTTGATAAACTATGTTTCAGAGCCCCTATGTTTGTCCCTAGTTTTTCAATGATGATCTTTATGATTCTAGGCTTTATATTAGGTTATTGATCCACGTTGAGTTCAGTTTTATATATATGAGACATGGGTCTTGTTTCATTTCTCTGCAAATGGCTTTCCAGTTTTGCCAGCACCATTTGTTGAAGATACTATCTCTTCCCTCATTTAATGGATTTTGGCCTTTTGTCGAAGATCAACTGACCATAGGTGAATGGATTTACTTCTGGGTTCTGAATTCACCTCCATTGATGTATGTGTCTTGTTTTGATTACTGTGGTTGTGTATTCGATTTTTTTTACTTTTTTGTGTGTAGTAGATTTTGAGATGGGTGAGAGGTCTCCTACTTTTTGTTTCTTTGTTTGTTTTTCCAACTTAGTATTTAAAAACACAACAGCAGGGTAAATAAACATTCTGGTCGTTTTTTAGTTACAGAAAAGCAGCCTTTCCCAAGGGCAACAAGTGAACTGAAGGTCAGGAGGAAGCTGGGTGCAGGCACTTACAAGCTCTTGCCCCAGGCCCCAGAAATGATCAGAGAGGGACTTCATGGAGGGAGAAGACCCCTGGACAGGAACTCGGAGTGGCTGGTGCAGCAGAGGGACTCCTTTGGTGGGGTGGGTGGGGCATCAGCTCAGCTTTGGTCACTAAGTTGCTGAAAGTGGACTCTTAGGTGATTCCCACTTGGGGTAGGTTGACATGATTAACTATTCTTGTTGT